GCCCCTGGCCCCGATGACATACATACGGAAGTCATAAAGCTACTGGAAGAGAAATATTTAAATATAATCGTCAAATTATTTAATCAAATATATACAAGCAGTGAAATTCCACAAGACTGGTTAAAATCAGTCTTTATTCCCCTTCCAAAAACTAAGGGAGCAAAGAAGTGTGGTGATTTCAGACTTATTAGTTTAATGTCGCATATGTTAAAGTTATTCTTGAAAGTTATTCACCAACGCATTTATAAGAAATGTGAACAGGATATCAGTGATGAACAATTTGGCTTCCGAAATGGATTTGGGACACGGGAAGCATTAACCAGTTTTATTATACTGCTGCAAAAATGTCGAGACCAAAAAAAGGATCTCTTTTTATGTTTTATTGACTATCAAAAGGCCTTCGACAAAGTAAAACATGATAAGCTGATGGACTGCCTTCACAAAAAGGGACTAGACGAGAACGATTTTAAAATTATCCAAACGCTGTATTTTAACCAAACTGCAGCAGTTAGAACAGAAGCCGGTGACACAGAAATATTCAATATCAAGCGAGGTGTACGACAGGGGTGTGTATTGTCACCACTACTTTCCAATATATATTTGGAAGAAATCTTTGCACGAGCACTAGAGCAATCAAGAGAAGGTGTTAAAATTAACGGCAGAGTTCTAAATAATGTACGATACGCCGACGACACGGTCCTAATTGCAGAGAGCGCACAAGATCTCCAGACACTCTTAGATCGCGTCAGATCGATCAGAGATTAATACGGCCTCAGCATTAACGTCAAGAAAACAAAAACAATGATTGTCTCCAAAACATCCATCCATCCACACATGGCTTTAAACGTGAATGGTAACATTATCGAAAATGTCGAGAAATTTCGATATCTAGGGTGCTGGATAACGAAAGATATAGATCCAGACATAGAAATAAAATCGCGAATTGAACAAGCAAGAAATGTCTTTTTAAAAATGAAACAAATGTTTACGTCCCAAACACTCAATCTCAAAATCCGATACCGAATGCTGAAATGTTACGTTTACAGCACCTTACTATATGGAATGGAGGCCTGGACCTTCAAAATCAATTCACTCAGGCGTTTGGAAAGTTTTGAAATGTGGTTATTTCGAAGGATGCTGAAAGTCCCCTGGACAGCGCATATGAGCAACGAGCAGGTCCTACACAAGATGGGTACCGACAGAGAACTCTTAAAAATAATGAAAACACGGAAAACCTCATATTTGGGACACATATACAGAAATGAGAAATACCAGCTACTGCAGCTTCTTATAGAGGGGAAGATAGAAGGAAAACGTGGTCCTGGTAGACGGCAGGCGTCCTGGTTGAAGAACATTCGTGAGTGGACTGGTTTGGATTCTCAATCTTTAATAAGAAAAGCCAGGGACAGAAATGATTTTGCTGAGGTTATCGCCAACCTTCATTGAAGACGGCACCCAAAGAAGAAGATTTGCGGCTACATTCAGCTTGAACTTTCGGTAGACTCTTAAGTGTAAAACATAAGATGTATTAGAAATTACTTAAGTAAAATTCATTCTCAGTGATAGTTACTACTTTAATATACTACTGATATAAAGTAGTTAATTTCTTCTGCTAGCTTAATTTACAAAATTTTTTTCTTCTTCAGAACTTTTGAAAATACTTTAAATTAATACTGTTCTAAAGCCATTTTCTTCTTAATAGCATCTTAATGTAATTACTATTTACGTTGGGAATAAGCCACAATATATTTTTGATTATTTGTTTTATATATTATTAAAATAAAAACTGTGTATTCCATTTCTTCTACCTTATATCACACCTATTATTAACTTTTGCTTAACAAATTCAATTTTTCCCACGAAATGGAAACGGGCTCATGTAATTCATTTATCGAAGACTAAAATTACAGAAAGCATGAATGAATTAAGAACAATAAGTGTACTGCCTACATTATCTAAAATTTTGGAATAGATGGTCGCTATTAAGTTACAAACGCATGTAAAAATAACATCATAATTCCTACGATGGATGCAGTCCAGTTTTAGTAGTTTTCAGTCCAGATATAGATCCCAACTCTACATGTCATTTTATCCAAATGAGTGTGATCAAGTAGTAAATGCAATAAATCATGACTTTCTTCATCTGCAGAGTTTTTCTCAAAATCATTGTTTAAAATTGAATACATCCAAAACTCGGGGTATCATATTTGGGAGGAGTCTCCATAGAAAAATATTTTTAGAGAATTATGCCAATCGCATCATCTTACGAAATGAAAATTTAATTTTCTCCTAAGCCTAGGGGTTTGGTTCGATGAAGATTTAAGGTTTACATATCACGTAAGTATTTGTTTACAAAGAGCTTACGCAGTTTTAAAATTACTGTATGAAAGCGGTAATTTATTAAGTAGGGTCATCAACTCATTATTATGTAATTCTATGGTTTTATCAAAATTAAATTATTGTAAGGTGCTTTACAATGCGTGTCACTGAATTTTATTTAAATTGCAAAATTCTTGTTTGATTTTTGGCATCAGAAAATTTCAAAGAATAAGTCATGTCGTAGTCAAGTGGCTAAATTTGAAAAATCATCGAAAACCGCATGCTTTATGTTTTTACCATAAACTTAGTCAAGAGAGAGTCCACCATACCTGTGCAATCGAATAACTTATAGGACTGACGGTAATAATCTTAAACTTAGACACAAGTATACCCCCACTTTGCCTAAACATATTTTTTAGACGTTCATTTTCGTATTCAATTGTTTGCAATATAAACAATTGTCCTACAATATTAGAAATTTGTCTAGTGTCAAGTTTAAGAGATTATTTTATGAGCATTTGTTGGCTGAACAGTAATTTAAAAATTTAAAGATTTAAAAAATTAATAGTTTAAAATTTATAAATTTAGTTTGATTATTTGATAATCCATGGTAAAATACATATTTCATTATTTAAATCTAGTTTATCCATCCTATCCTCAGGGGACTAGGTGGAAGAGCAGTTGTATGCCGCTGTTATACAGTGGTATAAAAACTGAATCTCGCCCTACTTATATACTATTATTATAAATTTAAATTCTTCTAATAATTTTATTTTATTTCACTCATATTGACAATTCAGACATATACGAGGCGTGTTTTTTAAGTAAGTAACGTTTTGGAATTTAAAAAAGACGGGCAAAGATATGGCAATAATTTTATTTTTATATGAAAGCCTGTACCTTAATCTACGTTTCTACATAATTTCCGTGAATATTGAGGCACTTGTCATAACGTGGCACCAGTTTTTGAATACCCTCCTGATAAAATTCTGCCGCCTGACTTGTTAACCACTGCATCACAAATATTTTGACTTCGTTATCGTCTTGAAGACGCTGACCGCGCAGGTGTTTCTTCAAGTGCAGGAAATAGGAAACAATGGTAGTCGCTGGGCGCCAGATCAGGACTGTATGGAGGATGATCTAGAGTTTCGTATTTAAATGATTTGATGACATCTTTGGTCTGATTAGCCACATGTGGACGGGTATTGTTATGCAGCAAAACGATACCCTTACTCAATTTGTCATGTCTTTTGTTCTGGATTGCACGACGCAGATTTTTCATTGTCTCACAATAAGACGCTGCATTGATTGTCTCATTACGAGGCAGAAACTCCACTAGCAATACTCCTTTTCTGTCCCAAAAAACTGTGCACATGATTTTCCGGGCAGAAATTGTTTGCTTAAACTTTCTCTCTTTTGGGTGATGATGAATGTCGCCATTCCATGGATTGTTGTTTCGATTATGGTGTGACGTATACCACCCACGTTACGTCACCAGTAACAATTTGGTCTAAAAAATCTTCACCTTCACTGTGGTACCGCTCAAGGAAAGTCAATGCACTGCCTAAACGTTGGGTTTTGTGCAAATCCGTCAAAAATTTTGGAACCCAACGTGAACACAATTTCCGATAATTCAAGTTCTCGGTAACAATGCGATACGAAACACTACGAGAATACTGAGGAAAGCAGTCGGACAATGATGAAATTGTAAAGCGTCTGTTTTCTCTCACCTTCTCGTCCACTGTCGAAGGACACCCACTCCGTTCTTCATCATGCACATTTGTACGGCCATCTTTAAATGTTCTCACCCATTTCCTTACCATTTTATTACTCATAATGTTTTGTCCGCAAACTTCAACGATCTCACGATGAATATCGATCGGTTTTACGCCTTTAGCACTAAGAAATCGTACAACAACCCATACTTCACAATCAGCGTGACTCACGATTGTTGGAGGCATCTTAAACGCTGGAGTAAACCAGTATACAATGAAGAATCAGACTGTAATGGCGTCAGTGCGTAGACAAGAGATGTAGGTAACCAGCGCTCATGCGCGGAACGCCGACCGTAGCGCTGCGGCGGCGGAATCCCAAAACGGTACTTACTTAAAAAACATGCCTCGTATTATACATTTTAAAGTAGATAACTTTAAAATAATATTGACGACATTGCTGAGCTGCGTTCCTGGGACGACTTAAAAATAAGGACACACTCAGAGAAACGAGGTTTAACTTAGTTTTATTTACGTTCCTTACAAAAAAAAAACATCTAAACGTAATTTAGATTGTCGTATTTTTTTAAATGGTGTTTTAAAGAAAGCAGAAGCTTTTAAACAGTTAGGTTATGTTTTACTTATAGACATATAATACAAGATAGACTACTCGTTGCAATACCAGTCCGTTCTCCCAGTGCGACAGACAAAATTTACGCACAGCAGTCCCTACATCTCAGCTCCCCTGCGAGAGTTTTCTCTGTCGCACTTGGGGGAACACAACTGTACTACAACAGTCAGTTATCTTGTATTATATGTGTAGGACTTTATTTGTTTTGAATTCTTTTGCAGGAATGTATAACCTACCAACCGATGAAAGTCATATTCCAGTACTTTTATTAATTTTTTTGTAGACCCTGTATAACTTATCACGTATATTTTTACTTATAATCTTTTTATTTGTTTCAGGAAGAAGTAAGTATTTTGGACACAGAAGTCAGCCATCTTAATGTTATATGTAAGTTATATTTAATTTTATATTTTTTATGTACATTATCGGATAAAAGTAGAACAACAAAATGTTTTTTTTTTAATGAGAAAACACGTAATTAAACCATTTTTGGTTTGTTCATTTATGTAGGTATTACGCTTATAATTATAGCAATATGTAAGTACATTACAATTAACTTCAATACCATTTAAGATAAAAATTTTAAATAACTAAAAATGACGAAAATCAATACTGCAAAACTAAAGCAACAAACTATATTCAGTTTTGATTTTATGTATTAAAAGAAACAATATTAAACTATTTATTAATACTATTAACTAAAAGTATTAAATAATTGTTTTTTTTATATTTTTCTCTATGCAAAGTAGTCAGTTTTTCTATTTACATTTCTCCATAAGTTTCTATCTTGGGTCATACTCGTACCAATATCAATTTTAAACACACAATAGTAGGAAATTTGGGCATACAATTCACTTGGATGAGAAGTATTGGTCCAAGTAGATCAAGTACGAATCATCTGAGCCCCAATGAAGCGTGAACAATACAATACCGACGGATGAAAAGCGTGAACAATACAATAGAGAGAGAGCCTTAGCCAGAAGAACAGTAAGGAGAAAAAAGAGACAACATTTACAACAACAAATTGAAAAAGTAGAACGTGAACACAGAAGCAAGCAAAATAAAAAATTCTACAAAAAAGTAAGACAAGCCTGGAAGAAATTATCACGGCGATAGAAACCCCAAAAAATGACAAATCTCCGGGACTAGACAATATTGATGCAGAACTGATTAAAAAAGGAAGGCATGAACTTAGAACTAAAATACACCAATTAATGAAAGAAGCCTGGGAACAAGAAATAATGACAAGAGAATGGAGTACTACATATAAGATATTAGCTTCAGTTGTACTAAAACGATTACTGCCATATACAGAGGAAATTATTGGCGATTACCAATGTGGCTTTAGGCCTGGAAGATCAACCATCGACCAAATATTTACTATCAGACAAATGCTAGAAAAGTATTGGGAATATAATAAAGAAGTACACCAGATCTTCATAGATTTCAAACAAGCATTATGATTCCATAGATCGCTTAAAACTGTGGAGTGCAATGATGGAGTTAGGCGTACCAAAGAAGCTGACCATGACCCGCTGTGATGTCCCCATTACTATTTAACCTAGCATTGGAATACGCAATGCGAAAAATCTATACCAGAGTCAAGCCAGACATAACTGCCAGAGGAGCAAAGATTATTCTCGCATTTGCAGATGATGTAGATGCAGTAGCACAGACAACACTGGAAGTTAAGGATATAATATCGAACTTTGAAGAAGCAACACTAAGCGTAGGCCTGAAAATAAACAAAGAAAAAACTAAATACATGGTCGTATCAGAAAAGGAACGACAGCGAATAAGACAAAACATTACCATAAATGATCATAATTTTGAGGTGGTCAAAGAATTCAAATACCTAGGAGCAACAATTACCAGTGAAAACACAGGAGAACGGAAGGTTGAAATACGAATACTGGCGGGGAATAAATCATTCTTTGCCATTCAACATCTAATGAGGTCAAAGCTTCTCTCAAGGCGTGCCAAAATCCAAATGTACAAAACCATAATAAGACCAGCAGTGACATATGGAAGTGAAACATGGACATTGAGAAAGAAAGAAATCAATAAGCTATTAGTATTGGAACGCAAAATCCTGTGAATTATATATGGTCCTTGCAGGGACAGCGTGACAAATGAATGGAGGAGCAGATACAACAATGAAATAGAGACTCTCTTCGGGAAAGGAAACATCGTAAGATACATAAAAGCCAATAGATTAAGATGGGCAGGCCACGTGGTACGGAGTGATGACGACAGACTGATTAGCAATGTGTTTTGGGAAAGACCAGATGGTAAAAGATTGACAGGAAGGCCTAGAAAAAAGTGGAAAGACGCAGTCAGGGAAGACCTGGAGAAGATGGAAGTAAGGCCATGGGAAATAATAGCACAGGATCGGAATCAATGGAAGGCAATAGTAAACGCGGCAGAAACTCACGAAGAGTTGTAAAAGCCAATGATGATGATGATGATGAGCCCCAACGCTCTCCTGGTACTCCTCCATAACCCCTCCACGCCTATGTGCAATCAGAGGCTACTATCATAATATTACTTGTCACGTAGGAATCTTGGAAAACGAGACGTCTTCTCCATAGGAAGTCCAGGATTGCATAAGGCGCTAGTCCCGTGATATTTTTATTGTCATCTTTATGTATTATGTGTATCCGAGCATTAAGCTTCCATAAGTTCATATTCAGCTGAGGAGACTCCAAAGTTGACATGTGTCATTTTTGGCAATTTTTTTAGTGATTTTGGGATGAGAATTTTTGAGGGTGGGAGTTAGTGAAGCGTTGTAGAGCTACTTACATGCTATTTTCTTTAAGTCGTTGTCTCTACATCGGTGGAGGACATCATGCCTTATGATCCCTTTCTAGGATGTGGTTGGTATGTTTTATTAGTTTGGCGAATTTTTTTCTTGCTTTGTCTCCATCTGGTAGAATGCTCTGATCTATTGGGTGTCTCTGAAAAGGAATCTTTTCATTACGTATCCAGAGACGTTCGCCGCTGCTCGTAATGCTCAATTATAGAGAGCTTAGATCTTATTTTTGTTTGTCTTGTAGGTCTGTTCCGCATTTTGTCTATTTGCTCCAAAAAACATTCTAAATAAAAAAGATCTCTTGTCATTTTTTCAAAGTTGTCAGCTTTCGAGTTATAAGTGATTTACAATCTGAAAAATGCAAAAAACTTTTTAAGCTTGAAAACACTATGTAAATTATTATTATTGAGGTTGCCAAGTGCCTAAATTAAAGTTTCAACATTTAGTTTTAAGATTCTGAAGAACAATCAAAGCTTATTTTAATTTGAACCACTGTTTCTTAATTGTTAATTGTATCCTAACAAATATTGTAATGTATTATTAACATAGTTGATTTTGAAGTTTTTTGTGTGCTATTGTTAAAAATTTTTAATAACTGTTAATATTTATTGGGAATTTTTCGCGTCAGTACATATTATGGTATGTATAAGTGCGACATATACGCACCATATATTGTGGCACGCTGTAACTTGAAAGCTGTCAACTTTAAAGAAAAATGACAATAGATTTTTTGTGTTTATAATGTTTTTTGTGATTTTTAAAATTTGTTTAAGCCTAGAACACTCTCGTGGGTAATAAAACGAACAAATATTTGTTGCAAACACAAATACACAAAAAAACTCTTCCTAATAACATATTCAACAAAAAAAATAATAACATATTCCATAACAGTTTTGACACTGCTTAATTTGATGTTCTCCGCAAATAGGTTTTTTGCATTTCGGGCAATAAGTGGTCGTCATTCATTTAATTGTTGTGGGACAGGTTAAGCAATACTTCCTTGGACCTTTTAGGTTTTCTGTTACGACTTCGGGAATATCTTCTTTTGCCAAGACCTCAGAAATATTTTTTTTAATTCACAGTTCAATTTTTTATTTTCTAAGTGACTTAGGTCTGGTGAGATTCTATAAGTTTTTTATTAAGCTCCATCATATACTGCTGTCTTTGTAGGGGTTTTCCACCTTGAGTAATAACGTTGTGCGAATAAATAACGTAGGCATTGATGCAAGCCATATTGATCATATTATAAAATATGCACATCAACCATCTTTTGGTCTTCCGGTTCGCACACATATTTTGACACATTTGGTCAAACGTATCGACTGCTCCTTTCGTGGAATTATACATGATCATTTCGGTTTTTTTTGTAGTTGTGGTAACTGTTCCCTTTTTATAGATTGTTTTCTGCCAAACGAATATTCGTGAACCAGTTTTCCATGGTCAGGTTCCGGTTAGTGACGTGAATTGGAGCTGTTAAAACAGTTACAAAGTGATCGGCTAGAGGAAGGCCATTTCTTTGTTGGGTAGATTTGCCTAAACACGGTTCAGCATTGACCAAGTACTTGGTGGCGACATCGCATAATACAACCAATTTTAACCCGTACTTAGCAGGTTTATTTGGTATGTACGTGCGAAAATTGTATTTTCCCCTAAAACCCATCAGCTGCTCATCAATTGGCAAATACGAACTTGACTTGTAATTTGTTTTACAATGGTTAATAAATTCCTCCCATATTTCTGATATGGGGGCAAAAGAAGTTATTTCTCTCCTTTCAGCTCTAGTTCATTCTATCATCGAACCCTAAGACAAGCAGTTAGAAATTCCAATCGAAATTTGCTCATCGTCGCCCTATATCTGTCACCGGAAAATGATTTATCAAACATAATATTCGATGACAAGTGTAGAGTATATAGAGTCCCAAGAGCGCCTTCACTCCTTGTAGATTGGTTTCAGATGTTCTTTGTTCAGCGTCATGATAATTTTTGTGTTTTCGGTTTATTTCTTGATTTGTATATGTCACTATTTTAGTTAGCATCGAATAGGTGAAAAATATTTCAAATGTACGCAAAAGTTCTAAAATACCCCTGAGTTCAGCCTTAGGACCAGGCCTTACATGGACAACGTTGATTGCAAGTGTTTTACCGATTACTTGTGAGTGGTTTCCCAAATAAATCCATTTTTGCCCTTAAAAGTATCTCCATCTGGAACTATAATGTGTTCGAGATCAATAGCGACACCCTAAAAAATATTGAGATTAGTTTAACAATTGCCACAAACCAAATTAAGTAAATACCTCCAGAAAATTGGTACTGGAGGGCTCCCCTCTCTGCGCATGGTCTGGTTGGATCATTGTTTCAGTATCGACAGCAACATAAACCTCTAGTTCTAATATTTATCGATTTTCACAAAGCCTTTGACACAGTTGAGCTAAGCAAAATATTACAGGCGCTTAAAGAATGCAGGCTAGATTATAAATATACTAAATTATTATACAAAATATACCTGCAGGCAACAACCACTGTCAAATTATA